ACTGGTAACTCATGTATTTGATATAATAATTAACACGCCAAAAACATTTCTCTGTCCAGATATTTCTGCTCTTACCACAATGCATTGGGCCTCATGCAGCAACATTCTCCTAAATCCCTCTTCACTTCCTGTTAAAATAAAATATAACAGAGGTCAACCCCAGATGCACTAAACTTTCTTGACAATCCCAATCTACTCCAGGTATCCTAGTTGATGAATCCCATTTGATCTTAATTTGGAGATGTGTGGTTGATTGTTTTTTATTAGCATAGGTAACGCCCCCTAAACACCATATAAGGGCAGGTGGTGTGCCACGTAAGGCACATGGTCAAGACTTGGAGGGATGCCATCAAAAAAGGAGGACAGATGGATGGATAGAGTTATCCAGGCGTTGCACATGAACAGTACAAATACATATAATGGGCAAATAAATACATTCAAATAGCTCAATGCAGAATATAAGAAGAAATCTTAGCATACACTGTAAAAGCAGACAAGTTAATTTAACTCAAAATTATTTATTTTAAGGTAGTTTTAAGTTTTAAATAATAAATTTTTGTAACTAAGTAAAATGTTCTCTTACCCAAGAGAAGAGCAAACAATAATAAAACATTGGTAAATCTCAGAAATCAGTGCGTACTAAGAAAAGTAAGAACAAATCATGGATACGAACAAAGATAAGAAGAAATGTGTTTTTATATGGTTTCTTGCATGAGGCCCATTGTTTCCCATGAGAGCCTGAAAAAGTGGACATACACAAGCTTTACTGACATCTCTGCAGTCACTAGATGGCAGCAGAGGGCAAGATACTGGGAGCAATCAGATCTCTCATCAACAACAAATCACAAGTTCAATTATTGCCATGAACAGATACGCTAAATAGCCAAAAATATACGGACAACCAAACATTATATATGATTTGATTTGAAAACCATAGGCACTGACCCTCATCCTACCAACATATTTCACACTCAAGGACTACTGATTGTAAGGAACAACCTGCATAGCAAAATATTAACTTATTCTTTCTTAAAACATTATTAGTTATGTAAATAATCTGAAGAAAAAAATAAAAACAGATTATTATTATTTTAGGGAAGTTAATTTGCTGATGCTTTAAATCGGGACTCATGGAACAAATGAAGTCAATAATAGTATCTATTAAAACAGCACAGGTGGAATTGGGTTGGGTTGACATTGGTAGTTTTTAAAAGCACAAAAAACAACAACAATATGATGACATCAGGAACAAATTGAGTGACAAAGTTTGAAATCATAAAAAATTGGAATGATGGAATAAAGCAGCTGTGAGATATGACTAAAAGTCGACCTCTGGGGTCTGCAGGTACTCGTCGGTGCTTTTGCTGCTCACTCTGTTTCCATTCAGCTTCAAGAGCATTAGAGAGGTCGGCCACCGATGTTGGGTGATGAGGTCTGGCTCACAGTGGACTATCCAGGTCATCCCGAAGGTTTTGGATGGGGTTGAGGACAAGTCTGTGCAGGTCTGGGTGCACAAAGCAAGTTGAGTATATACCTGGCTTTGTGCACAGGGTGTCATGTTGAAACAGGAAAGGGTCTTCCCCATTCTGCTGCCGCAAAGCACACTACTGTCTAAACCAGGTTCTCAAACCCCACAGTCCTGTCAGATGAACTCAAGTACCCCTTCATCAACACCTCCAGTCATGTTCCAGTTGTGTTCACTGATTTTAAACTGGATGTTTTCATACAGTTCAAACTGTCCATGCTCTGCAGTCGTACTACAAGCTGGATGTTTCAACTCTTTATCAATTTTTAACTATTTATTATTTTTTAGCTAACCTTGTCAACTATGTATCCATTACTCTTAACAATTTCAACCATTTATCTGTTACTTTAAGCGAACTATTTAGACTCTGCTCACTTACAAACTACCTAGTTTTCATGTAACACCTGCTGTTCACGTTACTCAATATGTTGATATATACTTTTGAATTAAATTGTTTTTTCTATTTTTTGAATTTAGTTGACTTACTCCACAATCTTTGCACGTACCCCCTGGCAACATCAGAAGTACCCCTTGGGGTACAAGTACCAGAGGTTTAGAATCACTGGTCTAAAATATCATTGTGTGCTGTGTGTAGCATACATATAAAAGGCAATACCCTGATAGTCTTACAGGGAGAAGGAACTTTACAGCATCCAAACGTGCTGCCAACACATACATGCATATGCATTTATTCTGCCCACTTTCTGTAATTCACCTCTTTCTTTGAGTTCAGATTCGAGATAAAGATAAAAATGCACTATTAAAACTAAGCTGAACAGGTGAATGAAGGAAAATACGGCGGCTATGGCAGTATTTCTGTCCAACAAAACAGCAAACACTCAGATCAGACTGACAATAACGGCATTCAGCAGGAGGAGGTCAAAGGTCAAAACATTGTGACTTCCTGACAATGTTGTTTTACACGGTTCACAGAGCTGTTGCAATGAACAAAGCCTGAATGTGTCAGTGCAGTGAGAGGAGGCATGTGAGGTCAGAGCACATCAGCGTTGTGTTCATGGAAGCATGTGGACTCCAACAGAGAGGACGAGTGACACGCACACTGGGGTTCATGTGAAACTCTTCCATTCCCTGAACGTTCTCTGCAGTCAGACCTGGGAACTAAACCACAGTTTACACAAAACATTTACATCACAAAGAGGTTAGTGCTCCACGTCTCCCTTGTCCTCCTTCCTCCTGATGTGGAGGGAAACAGACGCCTGCGCTTGCAACAAGAGTAACACTCCATCAGTGAAGACGGGGTGATAAATGAGTCTGATCATCTCTGACAGAGATGGTTACAGGCTGTGGACTCATCTTAGATGTTACTCTGTTAGCAAGAGTGGATTACTTTAAAACTCTTTGATTTGATTAGGATTTGAGTGCCTTTTCCACTACTAAGCACAATTACCACCTTGATCCCAAAGCTGTCACTGATGACTGCCAGTTCCTGAATTTCCTCTGCAAAACGAAAATGAGAGTACAGTAGCTGCACCTACATGGCACTTGGCGAAGCGTCGCCTCGTTTTCAATTCCTCTAAATAGCAGCTGTCAGGGTTAGAGGAACACAAAAAGAGAAATGATGCTGAAAATGCAGGGGTATAGAAAGATGCTGCGTAGAGCAAATAAAGCAGAAGGATTGCGAAAGGGAGTTTCTATCAAACAGGGAAGAAGCCAAATAAAAGAACTGTTACTGCTCAAAATGGCAAAAGAAAATAGCAAAACAAGCCCTAATTGTAAAACCATCTGCCAAATAGCAAACAGTTACGATAAAAACATGATTTATAGACACATTTTATTCTTAAATTAGCAGCTACCCTTTGAAAAATGTTAGAGGGGGGGAATAACTAGGAATAAACCAAAGACCTGGGCTTATGGCAACACTGAAAGCATGTTGCATGAAACATTATTAAACATTAAACATCAAGAAACAATTTCTCTACTACGGATTTGTAGAATTTTGGAATCACGGCGTATCCATTTGCCACAGATGAAAGTGATCATACGTAACAGTCCGCTTTAGTTTATCTGTGCAGGATATTTGTGTGAAGTGTCTCAGAGAAAGAGCCATGACTGCACAGTAAACATAAACATAAATATACTAGGAAGTGTGTTTGTAGTAAATATACTCACACTGAAGAGTCTGGTTCCCTAAAACAGAATAATTGAGTACTTAGAAAAGATCAACTTTCAATTCATCCCCCAGAGCTGTGTGTGGGGTCATTTCAGTAACAGCTAATTACCACATTGATTCTGTTACTGAGGGTCAGACCTCTGCTCTGCACGGCAATGATTAGTCATCAGCATCAAGCTGCTGAGGGTTTACTTTACTAGGAAACTCACTCAAAACCACCAAGAGGGAGTGTGCAGAGATATATGAGCTCACCTCAAGCAGGAATAACAGAACAAACATTGACTTGTTCCACATCACAACTGTAGTTTGCTCCTGTCAGGAGTTAGTCTTAACCCTCCACAATTAAAAGCTACAGAGGCCCCTGTGAGCTATTGGAGACTGTTGCATGAAAAACAGATCGTATGAGAAGACACAGGATCTCACTTGATGTGTTTGATCAGTTTTCTGGGTACTCCAAGGTTTTAGAAAACCAAAGATTGTAGAACTTCAACAACCCACATTGAAACATGTAAATTGGAGATATATGGGGTCTTTATTGGAATAGCATTATTTGCAAATGTGTGGAAAGTTGTGAAACTGTATCCCAATCCATATACATGCATACACAGATTTGTGAATGTGTACAAGAATCTCTAAATGAGCTCCTCAGATCTGTGTACACATTCACAGATCAGTATACGCATTTACACTTTTGTGTACATATTCACATAGGTACGTACAAATGTCAAAATTCTGTACATGAATTCACAAATCTGTATACATTTACACATTCATGCACAGATCTGTGTATGCACACATTTGTGTATGTATTGACACTGTTGTGTACATACTCACAAATCTGTGTACACATTTACACAATCTGTAAACATCTACATCTACGTCTTCACAAATCCAAGTATGAGCGTACTGATGGAGATAGTGTCACAACTTTCCACACATTTGCAAACATTATTAGTCCAATAATTGTCCTACAGAGGCACGATACTTCCAAATGATAAAGCAATATGTTCATTTGAAATGACTGAATATGTAATCATATTTTATAAAAGCTTCAATATCATAATGATTATCATATCTGGGAGGAGTCTAACCCGGGAGGTGTAAATTACAGCATCAGAGGACACATCAGACCAGCCTTCCTGTCTGTGATCACACATCAAACATGTAAGAGATGGTTAGTGGTGCAAACAGATGTTTTACTCAACTTTGAAGTGTGCATATATGCACACAGGTAGAGTTATCTGTGATGTTTACAATTAGACCTCAGATTTATGCCACTCCTTCTAATGCGACCTTTGTAAATGTGTTATGTACGACTGAGCCAAACACAACAGACTCACCGGCTTTTGACATAAGCAAATTTATTGTTCTTGCTCTGTGTGCTGTATTACATAAACATGTAGTGGTGTGAGTCCATTTGTGGACTGTTCAACCATGTGAAAATGTTCACAACTGTACAGGAAGAACTTTATATTAAAGATTTATGTCTGAGCTGAAAAAAGTGTGTGTGGGAGAGTTTTAGTAAACTGTGCCGAGACACAGCCAAGCCAAGTCAAAAACTCTTCAACTGGAAACATGTTCATTTCATTTGGCACTGTATGTACATACATACCCATGTAATATTATTTACATACACTCTTTTCACTCAAATACACTCTTACACATACAAACTCCAAGTCCCTGCCATTTTTACTGTATGACCATCACACCAAAGGCCACAGAGCACCCTTCTTTCTCGTCCAGGCTTGACCCCTCTAGCATTTCTCACTGTCAGATTCCCTGTGACAGTTGAGACTGCGCCTCTTCCTGTTGGAACAGGGATGGCAGATTTATGATTCTGGACACTATCCTTTGAGGTGTCTCAAAGTTTCCACCCACTCCCGATGCAGGCTGGGTGGACACAGCAGCCAGTCATATTGTGTGCCTAAATCCACATGTACTCAAAGCACTGTCTGTATTCCAAGTCAGACCTGTGACCCACTCTGCATTTCCACTGATCACAAATGTAACAAATGTACTTGATCACATGAGAATGCTTTAAGGCAGTTACCACAGTGCTGGATATACAGTATTTATCATATGAAGTGGTCTCTGATTGTGAGGTCTTAAGGGTTCAGAGGCTGGTGATGATTCAGATTTTTCTTACTGTCAACAAATCAAAGCAAAAGACCAAAACCAACAAAGAACAGATCCACCTACAAGTATTGTGTGTGCGTGTGTGTATCCAAATCATGATATTTCTCACTCCGCTGTGTCAGAGCTCCACTGTCCACAAACTTCATGTTACTGCAACTAACCATTATTTTCCTTACAGATTAATCTACTTATTTTCTTGATTAATTTGGTCAACAAATGTCTGAAAATAGCTTTAAAAATCGATTCCACAATATCCTAATGCCCAAGATGACATCTTTAGATTGTCAGATATTCATTTTATGATGACAGAAAACTGGGAAAATCAGCAAATTCTTGCGCTGACTCCTGAAACTGGAACTAGAGAATATTTGATGTTTTGGAGAAAAGAGAAAAAGAAAAGATTACTGTAAATACTCACTAGAACTCCTAGAACGTGTATTAATCCACTGCTAAAAATAGTCCCCAACAAACTCAGTGATTCCTCTTACATAAACGTACTACAAGGACTACAACTGGTAATGAAACAGTTTCAGTTTAATACTGATGCCTCTATATGACCTACACAAACAAAAGGACCATCAGGGAGAAGACTGGCTATGTCTATAGAGTTATTGTTAATGCCTGCCAGCTAAGATTCCCCTTGAAATCATTAAAACAAAGCAGTAGAAAGAGGACAGCTTTTGTCCACAGGGGCCACCAGAATCATCACAGAATGAGCTCCTTTTTGCTGCTTTAAGTAATGTTTGCTAAAACCCACAGTGCTCAGCCGAAATGGCTGTGCCTCTTTTATTTTTGACACATTTTAAAGATTTCTGTCTTCATTAGGAGTATGCTTGGCTCCTACAGATCTCTACCACGCTGTTGGTTTTGGTCTTTGATTTGCTAACAAAACAACAAATGTAAGCTGTATCCTCTCAGGGTTCATAGACTGGGGGGGGGGTAAATTGGCACCCTGCAATTCAGATTAAGAGAAGGGAGTGCAATTGGAGCATACAATAACACACACACACACGTACACACACAACACAAAAGAAAATTTCAATCTTTACGAGACTTGACACTTAATATTCTCTGTGCAAAACGAAGGTAAGAAGTCTATTGCTTAGTAAATGTTAGTAGTACCATCAACGTCATCATAGCAGAAACATGTGCTTTCTAATAATCCTGTGAATCTGAAATGATCTACTGCGGAGTGATATGCTAATGCTTCAGAGTCCTGTTGGGTGCATAGTTTATACTAAAAAAGGCATTTTCTTTTTGTGTTTATAAAAATATACAAATATAAGCCAATGTCCTGCCTGCTCTGTACAAAGAGTGACTGTGGGATTTATGTGGTGGGAGTTATGGTTTTCATGAGAGTTTGTTTATCTTGTGTAACTGCAGACAAACTCACCGCTAACTCTACTCTCTCTTTCTCTCTCTAAACAAGACCAAGGAGTTCATGCTTGGTTCCACCGACTGCCGCTGCTGTCAGTGACACACACAGGTGAAGAAAAAACAAAAAGTCACATCAGGTTTCTGTGGTAGGCTTGAATCTCCTCCGTAAAGATAAAAAGACCACAGACCCCCCCCCCCCTCGGACACAGTCTAGTTCATTTCACTTCTGTTTGTCAGTTGTGAAGCGTGCAGAGGGATGAGCTTGTGTTCAGTCCGCTGTCCATCTCGGCACCCTCTCCCCACCTGTCCTCCAGGGATCTGTTTGTCGGACCGGTCCTGCCGAGCCCTGTGCTGAGGGATCAGTGGACCCCCCCGTTGTAGGACTTCTCGTACATGCTGAAATCTGTTTCAACAAGATGTGTAGTGACGGGCTGCTTGTACAGAGGGTTGGAGGCCTGTGGGAGTGAGAGACAGACGCACACAGTACAAGATGAGAGCTTTGAACAGGGTTCTAACACACTGCCTCTGCCCATATTAGTATAGCACAGATAGAATGGGATCAGCTAGGGCTGCAGCTAATTATTTTCATTATGGATTAATCTGTGGATCATGTTGTCAATGAATTGATTAGTCCATTGGTTCATAAAATGTCATACCATTGGGAAAACTGTCGATCACTGTTTCCTAATGGCTGTCTTATTTTGCCCACAACCCAAAGACATTCAGTTTACTGTCATAGAGGACTAAAGAAAGCAGAGAATAATCTCATTGGAGAAGCTGAAATCTGAGAATTTGGACATTTGTTCTTAAAAACACAAACAAAGCAATTATCAAAACAGTTGACTAACTAATTGATTAGTTGACTAATCACTGCAGCCCTAGTATCAGCATATATGCATATGTTGTGCAACAAGTAATAAGACAGAAATTCAAACATGTCCCCATTACATAGTCTACAGTTTATTTTTACAACTGTAAAACATTCCACTCTGTACATATCTTTAATTCTTCAACCTTACTAATTCTTCCCTTTTTCCTTAAGGGACCCCTTTTCTATGATTTATTAAACTGACAACTCCTGCTTAAGTGACATATTTTATGGCTATTTCATATGATATTCAAAACTGTACAATGAACCCAGTTAATTAGATGAAATGCTGAGATATATAGGCCTACTGTGTAGATTTCCTTGTTTTCTTACACGCCAGGCCTCGCGACCCCCAATGAAACTTTTGCAATCCCTAGTGGGTTGGGCCACTGGTCAAGAACACACAACACTTAACTGCAACTTCCCTGGCTGGGGACCTTTGTTACATGTCATTTTTCTCTCTTTTTCTTCATGATTCCTTCCTATTGTCTATCAAACAAAGGTAAAGATAATCTTAAAGTATCAGTTGATGTATTATTGGATTTCTTTAACTCTCAAAGTTGGTATCAGACTAAAAACACCCAGTATGGTTTGGGCTTTAGTTGTTGTCTGATACAGATTTAAAAAAAGAAACCAAAGCACTGACTAGTTTTCAAAAATAACACTGTTTTGTTCCAGTATTTTCAGGAAGCTTTTACGGCGTTGGAATAGCCTCTCTCACTATTTATAAAGGAGCGACACAGATTTATCGCGTTTTATTGCATTTGCCTATAAGTCTCATATTTCTACTTGAAAACTATAGGCTATACAACAACAACTTCTGTGCCAGTAGATGCAGTTAACTCTAACAAAACTAAACTTTGCTGGTGATAGGGATTGTGCTTACCATCTCGTATCGGGCTCGCGAGCGTGCGTTCTGGAAGCGTGAGAACTCTCGTCGGTCGTGAATGGTGATGACCAACTTCCAGACGGCGAGCAGCACCACTCCAACCAGCAGGATGCTTCCCACCACTGCCAGCAGCACCATCAGAGCGTCTGGCCCACCACCACACTCTGACATGGGGAAAGGCAAGTTTAGACTATAGAGGCACAGCAACCGGCACAAGCAGCGCTCCGACCGCATGTAGTATTTTGGTGCACATTGAAACACAAACAGGAGGGAACACTCGAATGAAGCAGTGCAAAGCGAGTTTTTGGTGTTGTGGTGCGAGAATGGATGAGAATAGCTGTCTCACAGTTTCAGAGCTACCTCTTCCTGGCTCAACGTTGCTGACACTTTGGTGAGTTTATCAATAAGAGCAAACTGAATACTGGAAGCAAATATGCAGCAATGACAGAAAAATCCCTAAGATATAGATAAACTACTTCAACAAAACATATGCCAACCCGTCGCTGCTTTTAAATCTGCATTACAAAAATCATAGCTTAAAGCAAAATGCCAGTGAAGCAGTCTGCATTCATCCACAAATGTACATGAGTAACTCTTATAGTATCTGTTGTGCACAGCTGCTTCATGCTGCATTAAAGTTTCTCCTTCAGTTTATCAAACCCCAGCAGCTATCTGAAGGCCAGAACACTGTATGTTGATACATTTAGGTACAAAATAAACCCACACACCAGACTGCTCTTTTATAACTCAGTATTATATCTGCGTATGTGGGAAACGTGGGATTACCTCATCATGACAGCCTTTCCAACTATTTTGCAGTTTGAAAAAAAATCCATTACAGTGCAAGCAATGCTGTATGAAATGTACTAATTTCCCACGTGAGATTAGGGCAGAAATAGTTTCTATCTATTTTTTTGTATTGTCATTGTACCAATTAACAGTTAACGTGTGTGTGTGTGTATACTTCCTGGAGAAGATTCTTCATTTGTTGGGCTGTTGTCAGCTGATGTGACTCTAATTGGCTCAGGTGTTTGAGAGAGATGGGACCAGTGATTGGCTGAGAGCATATTTATTGATTACCACACCCTCTGATTACATTCCACTGCACCCAGCCTGTACGCCCACACAGTCTGGGTGACCAACCGCCTCTAACTTGACACTGTGCTTGTCATTAAAGTAGGGCCCACGGTATTCTGAAAAGTCATAAATTTCAATCTGAGTCATCTTTTTGGTGATGTTTCCAGATCTAAATCTCACCAAAACCAAGAGATGGGTGCTAATATTAAAGCTCCTCCCCTTTCAAAAGTTAAAACAGTACCTCAAGTTTGCCCTGGCTCATGAAATGCTAAAACATTTCAGAATATGAGCCGGAGAGAAAGATGAATCTGTGGCTGACGTTAGGCAGCAGGTATCCATCAAGGCAGTGTGCAGATATGTAGTTATGAGTCTGTGTAGAGTCTGAGTCTATGCTATGAACAGAGAGTTGTGATCCTTGATCTTGAGATCCTTTACACCATAAATACAATATAAAAGCACTTTTCCTAGCAGGTGTCCAATTCTGACGTTAAAACCCGTGTGGTTAGAAAGGACAGAAAAGCTAATCTGTTGTTGTTCGGAGCACTGACCTGGCTCTTTTAGAGCTGTGAGGATGGATTGTCCGCTGGCGTGCTCAGAATACGTGAACTTCATGACACAATCGTGGTCTGTCTTGTAGAGACAAAGCACAGCGCTGGGGTCCTCCGTTCCTGAGGGGAGAGCAGCAGAGAAACAGAGAGACACACTGAGATTGAACCATTTTACCGCAAATAAAATGGATATGGAGAAAAGGCAAGGAAATACTTCTTATAAAGACAACAATGTGTCAATTGAAATGAATTTCTTTTTACTTTGAAAAAATGTTTCAACTACTTTTGAGCTTCTTTTATGGAGTCACTTTCATGCCAGCACAAATTGAATTGAATAGTTTTGACTGTGAGATTTCAAACTGAATTCAGTTTTCAAATTTTTGTTAAAATTTAATTATGGGCGCCCGGTTAGCTCAGTCAGTAGAGCTGGCGACCCATATACCAAAAAAATTACTTACTACTAAAAAAAAATTGAATTATAAAAAACTGAATTGGAAAACTGAATTATGAGGTATTGAATTGGAAAACTGAATTATGGGATATAAAATTGGAAAACTGAATTATGGGGTATTGTAACCGGAATAATACAAGTTGAAAGCAGTGCGAGTTCAATTCAATTTCCCACCATAAGATTCAATTTCAAATCTCAAATTTTGCAGACAATACTCAGTTTTACCATTTCAAAACTATTAAATCAGATTCAATTTGTGCTGGCACTAAAATGACTCCATATTCTTTTCTCTGTGTGTTAATTTAGGTATGTTAATTCTTTGTAATTGGACCAGGATCTGTCTACACTAGTGTTCTGAAGAAGGCATTATAATATAATCATTATTATTAATGATTATTGTGAATATTATGATGAATATCATTATGAATATTATTATCTATCAAGGTTTGGCTTCAGATTCAGGAACAAAGATAGAGAAAAGGGGAGAAGAAGAGGTCAAATGAGAACTGAAGAGAAATGTCATGCCGAGGGAAAAACAGAAAACTTGTGAGCGATCACATAGCATGAATTTCTTTGCTGTGAAATCACAACTGGGACGCCGATATCCTGGGTGCCCTTGTTTTCAGTCAATCTTCATCACCCAAAAAGACTCAAAAGCTCACGAGGGAGGGGTGAGGTCACTCTGCTCTGGTCGGCCCTTCCCCATCTGCCCCTCCTCCTCCTTTATTTCATGCACAAAGTATCTGGAATGTACATGTGGAGTCCATTAAGGCCAGTCAGATGGCTGAGCTAGCGGGGGAATGCTATGAAACACGTCAGATCTGGGCCAGGGCCATGCTGGGCCAATATGGAGCGGTCTTATAATAGTCTTTAAAACTAAACAGAGTGTCAGCCTCCTCTTTCCCCCATGTGCACCGCCATGCTGCACCACAGTGCCATACAGGCCGCAAATCACCCTGTGCTTATTAATGCATTCCTGAACATCTCCCGACTGTTTCCCTGCAGGCTGAGGGACGGTAAGGAAGCAGTACAGATAGAAGCACTTACAGTGAACACTGAGACTCAACCTGCTTTGTAAAATGACACGAGAGAGGCAATGCTTTGTAGTAGGTACATGTTTGTTCAGCAGTGGATTCTCCCAATAGAGAAGGTGGGACAGAAGAGGCTTGTGAAGGATTTTATACTTGAATGGACTCAACTTTTTGAACCATATGCGGGGGCATAGTTAGTTGGGGGGGGGTTGTAGAGCCCCCCCGGTGGAATCAAGGCGTGACTCCGACAATAAGAGTATATAAGTAAGTATTTTGTGTTCAGCAGGCACTGAGGCATCCTTATGTTATCCATAATAGGCTATTTACCAACAGTTTGACAAGGGTTAGGTTTCTCAGTGAGAGCTTTGTGTGATTCTCCCCTGGAGACATTAGATTACATCCATTTACTAGATGCTTTTGGTCCAAAGTGACTTACAGTCTATTCATATAAATATGGGAGAAGTTTGGGTTTCAGTGTCTTGCTCAAGAACTCTTTGATGCATGGACAGAAGGAGCTCTGGTATCAAATCACCAACCTTTTGATTAACAGCTGACCCTCTCTACAAACTGAGCTACAGCCACTCTAGACACAGCTTTACTTAGTTACTTACTAATTATTAATTTCTGTTATTAATCATTTAAAATAACCAGAGTAATTCCACTTTTAAATGTAGTGCTTGCATGCTGAGGCTACTGAAAGGCCAATGAGCAAACGCAAAATAATTTTCCTTGACAAATATTAATATTTTCTTTCAGAGAAAATCATCAGAACAGCATAATATGAAATGGGAAATAAAATTGTTCGCTGAATGTATCTGCACTGTGTAATTATTTGGATCACTGAATGGATCTTATTAACTTTGTGTTGTCTGCTTTTTGTTGAGTTTATCTTGTTACTTTATTTTGTGTGACACATGTATAATTTTGCCTGTATTTAATAAGTAAAAGAATATATATAAAATAGTGACACAGACTGTAACTCAATATATTATGGCATAATTCTGTTAAAAGTGTACGTGTAATGCAACATATGACAGTAACGCAATTTTCTAAAGGTCAGTATCTAATGTCATTTCTAAAATCAAACAGGGGAAATGAACGTGATTACAGTAACATCACCTCATTTTTAAGTGCCCTCCATTGTCAGTGTGTAAATATTTAAAAAGGGGTTATTCTTGGAGTGTTTGTATGTTCTTCATCACATCAGACGTTGTTAAATGTCACATTAGAAATCAGTGGACAACTCGCTGTACTTTGGCGGGGCCCGATAACAACATGAACAGTGTAATAAAAAGTGACAGTGGAAGAGGTATGTAATGCGAAAAAGTGAAACTGTTGCAGATGCCACAGATGTGAATACTTTTCTCTGCCAGCCAGCTGGTCTGTGTGCCTGTGTGTAGTGTGTGTGTGTGTTTACTCACTGAGGGTCTCCACGGTGATGATTTCATCCTTGCACAGGCGCTGGCAGGTCTGGTTGTCTGCGAGGCGTCCTGAGTTGAAAAGCCGGCACTCGATGCACTCCCTGAAGCAGAGAAGTACCACTTACATTCAGATATTTGAAAAAAGGCTTCCATTAGCTTTATTCATGAGCGAGGAAGCACTAATCTACACAAGGCCTGCACAGCCTCCTAAATTTGTTGTTTTAATGCTGTTTGTTATTTTTACTCTGGGTGCGTCAGCTGTCAAAAATGCCCCACTGCGCTCCCTTTAAACACTGGAAGTTTCCCTGCAGCAGACTGTAAGCAGCTGAACAGCAGGTGAACCGAGCAGTGCACAGAACAAATAAACTGCCGCCGCTAAATTCAATTAGTGACGTTTCAGTTAGCGATGCAGGAACATTATTAGGTTTAATTTCAAATTATATATAATAAAAAATGTATTGAATAAGTAAAGGTCTGAATTCAATACACTGAATATTTCACTTTCATATGTTACATAATTGTCATTTGTTAAAAAAGTTGAATTTCATGATGTAACCCTGTTTGCGTTGCTCTTCCATCAGCACCACACAGTAACATAATATTCACACATCACAGGTAAAGTTACATCCACACCCACACAAACACGCACACAACAAACAGGACTAGATAAAGACAAAACAGTGTTTCTTAAAAAGGAGGGACGCTGGGTGATTTTGTGGCTCCACTCATTCTTCATAGCTTCATAAATAAAGCTCCATACCTTGTGAAATTGTTTCTCTTTGTCACTGTCCTCTGAGATTGTCCTTTCAATACTCTAAAATATCTGAATCCACATAAAAAAACACTCCCTTTTTCTTAAGCTAACTTTGCATAAAATGTTATTTATCCGTCTTTAAGATATCCAGCTAATTAAACATAAAGTTAAACATAAACCCGAGACTAGAGGTTACAAACTGTAAAAAACAAAACAATTTGCAAATTGGTTTCCCTGAGAAATGCAGAGGCATGCATCTCTTGCTCTAAGTAAGAGTAAGAATTTTGGCTGCTGCTTAGCTTCAGTTCATTTATCAAATACCATCTAACTGCTCATAACTGGAGCGGCTGACCCAGCAGTGATGATCTGTCTCTGAATGTCTGGTCAAGGGTGAAAGGTTGTTCCATAAAGATCTCGGAAAACTGGAGCCATGTGTATGTAAGGAGTCCTGTTGGGAGGATACAGCGCTTATTTCTGTACTCACACAGGACCGTTCTCTTTACATATAACCCCGACTTCAGAGAGCCCGAGCTGCCACACTGAGTGATGCAAGTTCAAACGGCGGGGGCAACGGTTTCATTTCTTAGGGTCGCCAATGGCATGAGAGTTATCTAACACACTCTCTTATGACTTCTTCATCAAAGCTGAGTTAAGTCTGTAATTGAGTGAGTTATGTGAGGGTTAGGGCTAGACTCTAGTTTTGGACTTTATGTGTTTGATGGTTTGACCTCCTCCCTGGTTGGCTGACAGAGTCTCATCACAGAAGCAGATTCCTGAGGTCAAATACCTGCACCTTGTTTCAGTTTTTTTTCTGACAATTTTGTCTCCCTGAGTGGTGTGAAGTGCGGTGCAGACTTTACCTTTTAGTGCCACAAGCATCAGGGCAGGTGGGGCACTTTTCACAAGTATCCCCGAAGGCCCCTGGCTCAGTGCACTGACAGCGGCCACACACACAGTTGCCTCGCCCGCTGCACATCTTCCCGTCGTCCGAAATGCACGACGACGTCTCGGTGGAGCAGTTGCAGTTGTCGCCGATGTAACCGGCATGGCATTTACACTCCCCGCAGTGACACTCTCCATGACCTGGGCAAGAGAAGAACAACGAGGAAGTAAGCACTGGTCACTGTATGGGAGAGTTAAAAAAAGGGTAGAATGCAAACTAAGAAAAAGATTCATCACCACAAAAACCTAAAAAGGTAATGGATGGGGTTGAGGTCAGGGCTCTGTGCAGGCCAGTCAAATTCTTCCATATCAAGCTGGGATGTAACAGTGCATCTCTCCTAATCATGTCTTTAGTTATTCTAGATATTTTTCTTAAAATGCCTTTATTTAACAAAAAAAACATCAGACACAAAATGTGTGACATAATGTGGATGCAAACACACAGTCTAGTGCTCAACACTGGAGCCCCTCAGGGCTGTGTGCTTTTTTTTTTTTTTTTTTCTTTCCCTTCTTTCCCCCTCCTTTATTTTTTTTTTTTTTTTTTTTTTTTTTTTTTTTAATTTTTTTTTTTGAAAAAAGGTGGGATAAAAAAAAAAAAAAAAATTTTTTTTTTTTTATTTTTATTTTTTTTTTTTTTTTTTTTTTTTTTTTTTTTTTTATTAAAAAAAAAAAATTTAAAATATTTTTATTTTTTTTTTTTTTTTTTTATTTTTTATTTTTTAAATCTATTTTTTTTTTTTTTTTTTTTTTTTTTTGGTTGTTCCCCCCACCTCAATAAAAAAAAAAAAATTAAAATTTTAGAGGGGGGGGGGGGGGGGAAAAAAAAAAAACACCTTCCCCCACCCACAACAAAAAAAAAGGTTTTTTTTTTTTTTAAAAAGAAAGGGGGAAAGAGTGTGTTTTTTTTTTTTTTTAATCACAAAAATCTTTTTTTTTTTTCCTCCCTCTTCTTCCTCGTTAAAAAAAAAAAAAACAAATTTTTTTTTTTAAAAAAATCAGTTTTTTTTTTTTTTTTAGAAGGGGCATAGAAAGCATCCTGACTGGAAACATCACAAACTGGCATGGGATGTGCACGGACCAGGACAGGAGGACTCTGCAGAGGGTGAATAAAACCACCCAGAAGATCATTGCTCAGCTCCCCATTATCAGGGATAATGGTGACCCCAGCCACAGCCTGCTCATCCTGCTGCCATCTGGGAAGAGGTATAGAAGCATCCGCTACCATACCACCAGACTCTTCCTAAACACTACATCATGTAAAATAGTTATATTTCTATTGCTTATTATTTAGATAGATAGACAGACAGATAGATAGATAGACAGATAGATAGACTTTATTGATCCCAAGCTGGGAAATTGCATTCACCATCTGTTTAATGTGTCTATATATATTGCTTGTTTTTGTGAGTATAACATAAAGATGAACAACCCTGTGCTGTAAAATGATAAATAAATCTACCTTGAACCTTGAACACACACATACACACATACACACACAGCTCACAGTTTCCTATTCCTGAGAGAACAATTTGACCCTCCTTTAAACAACTGAATAACTGGAGCAGCTGGAGCTTTGTAGCTCTGACCTAATCCACATCTACTACCAGCACTGAGCAAACTGTCCCTTTTATACCACACTCATTAGCTTCTTATCTACACTGGAATAAATCCAACAGGAGGCAAGCCTTAAGGAGAGAGCTGTGTGCTCTCTGTTGAAGTTCTGATTTGTCTCGGCCCTCTATGTGCCCGCTCTCCCTCTACCGCAGGCCACTCTAAGACAAGAGGAATCCTTGATGGAGGGAGGACAGCAGCTGTAATCAGGGAAGAATTACTTGACAAGCTTATTTCACAGTAGTTGTTCCAAGACCCTCCACAAAGACCATATTCATCGAGCTGCTATCTCATAGGGATAAGGCGCGGACAGAAAGGAGATGGTCGCACTTTATCAAGACAGGCTGCAGGCGGGTCAAATCCAAGAATTCATGGTCTGTGTAAGAACAAATATGCAGAACAAAAACAAGAAAAAACCTCGGCATTGTGATGTGTCAGAGATGTAGGGCACAGTTGCTAAGCTTGAGACCCTAAAAAAAAAAAAGGGGGGGGCTGGTGATGACCCTGTAGCGGCAAAACGTTCTAACAGAATTCCCAACTGGATCTGAGCTGTTCTTAAAAAACGGAAGGCCAGCAAAAGTCTCTGGTGTGCATCCTCTATGGGGCATGTGCAGTATGTATTCATCTGGATAATTACCACTGAGCAGCTTTAGCTCCAACTAACTAGCTGTCTTATGATTCATGTAAATTAGCTAGGTAGTTAGCTAGCATTTTTACATTAGCTAGCTAGCCTAAGATGTGACTATTTGTAGTTTTTATCTTTAAACCATCTTCACAATGTGGTTGTCATTTCAACATAGCATATCTAAGTACAGGAAAGGAGGGAGTTGACTGAAGTTCTGACAGACCCAAAAAGGGGCGGGACTACAAGGACTGGCTGTTTCTCTTTGTGTTATGTGATAGTCAACAAAATATCTTTGGCTTTTGGCTGGGCAAAAGCAATTTGAATCATGCTTAAGGAAATTGTGATGGGAATTTTTCACTATTTTGGGATATTTTATAGACCATACAATTAATCACTGAATTGAGAAAACGACAATTCAATTTATTGACAATAAAAAAAATAATAATAATAATAGTTAGCCCTACATCATTTTAACTTTCAGACAGATCAGTCATGTTTCAGGGGTCTTAGGTATGTTTAAGAGCCTTACATTGTTTGTTATATCGTAAATCTTTTGAGGAACAGTTTTCCAATAGCTGTCATTACATTTCCTTTTCTAAGTAGTAGTGGAAACACAGTGAAGACAGACTTCGCAGAGGAGAATTTGGGTCACTAACAAATGAAATCACTGTTGTCTATCCAGGAGTGGCTGCTCCTTCTGTCCAACATGCACCCATGACAGTGGGTGGAAGAGAACAATCAGATCATGCTGCCACTCAACCTCAACAACTCAACCTCAGACGCAGTGGGGAAGAAAAACGGAGCCTATGATTAAACCCAGATCCAAAGAGGTCACAGAGACTTCTCGAAATCAACAGGAAACATTCCGTCTAATCATCAACTATGCGGTCAGTGTTGTGCAACATAATGTCTGGACCCACAGACACGCAATAAACTCTTTCTATTTTTGTATTAAGACATCACCCTTCTAAATAATTTAGTATAGGCTGCAGAACTGTGAATTTTTAAGGTGGAAAAACTGAGACTGATCAAATTAATCTTTTTTGTTTGTGGTTGAGAGTCTGGAGCACCACTCCCAAAGCTCGGTCACTGGAGGACGGCATGACGAGTGGCATGTGGCTGACTCATGGTACCAGCCCTGGGAATGTGTCCTGAAATGACAGCATTGTTGCTCGCACATTCAGAGGGCGAGAAGTGAGTTTTCTTTCTTTGAGAGTTTCGTAGGGATAAGAGAAGTGCAAGTGCAGCTGCTTTGACATCGGCTTACTGTTCAACAAGTCCCGACGAGCTGCTACCAGGACTGCTGTCTTCAAACACTCTCCTCTGCTCTTTGTGTTTGTGTGAGAGATTATGCATGTCTTGTTCCACAGCTCTTTCCATTGGGAAATACATACATAAAATCTTCTTATATGAATAATGTATCAATTGATTATACATGTTATATGTTGATAGAAGTGGCCATTTTACTCTGCTACAATAATTGCCTAAATAAGAGAGCCTGCTAATAGTATAAAAGCAGCTTAAGAGTGATAGTGTAGGTTTTATCACTCCATGCGTTAGAGTTGACTCCACCTTGTCAATTTATGGGCCAGGTACTGGCCTCTTTATCTACACGCTGATAGCGTTTGGCTCACCGCACCACTCTTGAGATGAACTGGCCTCCTCACAGAAAAGAATACCAGCACTCAACAACGCACAAGCCCTCCGATTACCATCACCATACCTGAAAACAGATGTTTGGAGCAAGTGTACAGGCCATTTCCTGGCATTCCTTTTAGTTACTGAGCTGCTAAGTCGTTCCATTTCTTTTGGCTGTACTGCTGGGCCATTTTCATTCGCTGCTCAACAGCGAGATTAAACACTGCTCATGATAAACACAGCTGTGGCAGAGGAGGAGATGTGGAATGTGTTCAGCTCCTTCAGAGCTGTGACCTTCCTCTTTTTCTTGCAACTTTTCCATGACATTTCTTTAGACATTCAGTCAGCTTTGCCATCAGCCAAGATGAGGCAAAATTACATTACATTACATTTTGTGTTTTTAAAAATCAAAAAGGCGTCTACACTAAATGACTAAAATCACATTCAGTTTGTTGGTGAATTATCTAGTTTTTAAGAGTAGAGAGAGTAATTTTAGAGTCAGAAAATTATTTTAAAGTTGTTAGAAGCTATAGATCATAGTGGCCATGTTAGCCTTGTTTGAACTTCAATTTGCTTTACTTTTCCGAACCAGTTTTCTTTTCATGAATACTTTAAACTGAGAACCATATACGAAAAAACATTAATCGTTGTCACTTCTCAACAAAATTAAAAAGAAAAAAAATAATACCTTTATCATGGGATCACAATGACAACATTTTCAGAACAGGCGTGGCGCAAATCTGACATACCGATATGAATAAACCAGGCGACAGTAAGGGATCAGTTAGATCACCAGAAGTTTGATTGACTTCCATCTACAGTGCAGATCCTCATCCGCAGGAAACCAGGCTGCCAAAGTACTCAGCCTGGTGCAGCGGGGTCTCCCCCATGCTGCTCGCTTCCTCTGCTGAGTGGAATGAAGATCACCAAGTTAATTCTCATCTTGCATTGCTACTGCTGAGTGGGCCAAGATGAAAAAAAAGACAATAAATAAAAATAGATAGCCTTGCTCTTTCAGTTTTCCGTGGTACACCACTGACTATGTAGACCACACAATGAATAAAGCTAAGTGGTCAAATGCATGTATCGATATAACAGAAATATAAATATAACAGCTATTAAATGAACCTTAATGTGAGACTGTTTTGCTGTGTCCAAGGTCAAGAATGAACTTTAAAACTCAACTTGTAAGACAGCATGGATGAGATGTCCTTAAAGCACTCAAAGCAAATGGACAACTTGGCAGACTCCATCTACTGATGAAGAT